TCATAGGGCAGGTCTTACAGTCCCTTATTCATCCTCGTTGCCCATTGCTGCACTTGCTTAAATTTTCTTGTAATAGGGAGGCTAGGATTGGATCTGGCACTTCAGATGTATCCTTAATTTCAGATTATCTTAACACTTAATTTGAACAGCTGGGTACCTTTCCATGGGAAAATATAATTACAGGATATATATTCTCAAATATTAGCAAAGATTCATTAGCAGAAAGCATTACCAGTTGGTGAGTTAAACATAAAACAAGAAACCCTTTGGACATGTATTTCAAAGTGATCATATAAATCACGTGATGGTTTACCATCTTGATTATGCACGTATAGAAGCCACAACGCCATTACAGAAAATACAAGTGTTTTTACATCAAAGATCCAATCACAATGTACTGTTTGTTCCAAGACCCAGACGGCAAATAACTGAAGGTTTAAAGATACACACCATGTTCTCACATTATTCTGTTCAGCTTCAGTCCTTCCCTAAATGAGATTAGTAGCAAAGTTCTCTTCCATATACTGTGAGATTTGTCAAAAAAGGATTGGAAAAACCAAGATCTGGTCTATGAGGACAATAACTGCTAGGACGACAGTCAAGAACATAAGACAGTAGATGACTGATAGGAAAAGAGCAGTTATAGAGTTAAATTTATTCCCAAGAGGAAGGAGTTGCCCCTGGTATCCTCTCCTATAGACTTGGATAGGTAAAGCTAAAAGAAAGATTCCTACTGGAATACTGTCCTATCAAACATAGGGATAATGGACTACTAGTTCCCGTAGCAGATATGATGGCCTTTGTAATGAAGTACACCTCTTATAGAGCAGTGATCTCTTCCTACAACAGACCCAAGATTCAGCTGCTCAGCCCACAGTCTCTTAGATGAACTTCCCAAATCCCAGCATTTTCCTGGGGTTGATTTGTTTGTAAACAAGGAAATAAGCAATACTTCATGCTCTCTTCCCAGGCCCCATGACTTCTGGTACATAACCTTTCACTGCTGTCACCCAAATATTCGTGTGACTGAATTTTATTGCCTGAAACATTTGTGGCATTACTGTGCTTTAGCATGAAAATGTAATGCATGTCAGATATTTTCCTCTTCCTACATATTCTGTGGGCCCTTACTGGCAACTTCTGCCTCTTTGACTTTATAGGAAAAGGAGATTTTACAGTCTTCTGTTTGTTCATTGTCCAAATGTTCTTGAAGAACTTCATCACTTGACTACGTGCCAAAAGTGATAATGAACTTCTTCGTCCTTCAAAGATCATGCACTTGGGGGATTCTGTAGCAACAAGTCCCTCTGAGAGATCCTCTTGCAGACTGATGATAAAAGTTTCACAGACATCACATACTGATGTTGACACTTGCTAGTGACTAAAGAATAAATTACATGCAGTGCAGTTGCCTTGATATCCTGTATTCTGACCAGATTTAGCTCATCTTCCTGCCTAATTTCCTTTGTCTTATTTGTAGTTCTTTTTCTTCTTAATTGCTGCTCTAGCCTGTCTTTATAAATTGCATTCCCGCATGTTTACTCATCAAGGGCACACAGTCACCATGTGACAGGACGTGTGTGCTCAAAACTGACAACGTGTTTGGATCAAAGCCAGCAAGGCAAAGAAAAAGCTTCATAAACAATGCTGTAAATAACATCTGGGCTGTCCAAATATGGAAGAAAGTGGTAGCTTTCTCTCTTTGTTGTTATTTTGTTTTGTCGTGGATATCTCCCTATAGACACAAACAAGTCTGAAGTCAGTAATTATGGTACAGATTATTTTAAGCTAATTCTCATCACCAAATGCACATAACAACATGCTGCAGACAGAAAAACCAGACAAGGTGAAGTGAAACTTCAGGAAATGAATGAACTAGTGTAGGAGAACAAAGCCAGAAAAAAAGAAACCAAGCCAACTAAGAAACGCATGGAAAATTATTAGAAGAATCTCAGTTTAAACATGCTCACCTCATCCTAATACGGAAGATACTGACATGCAACATTTCCAATTTGTCTGGATAACACAAATTGGAATACAAACAAAGCAGAAATGTCCAAACCCACAAAAGAATAGAGTTCAGACAAAATCAGTCCTAGGTCTCAAAAGTCCTCCTACTTTTTTTATGTGTTCTAAGTCAAAGTTGAACTGGATGCTGCTTTGCTGGGAATCCTGGCTGTAGGTGTTGAACCAAAGATGCTGCTGTTGCTTTGGCAAATTGGATAAAGAGGTGGATGAGAAATTCATTCACCCACAGCCCCAAGGCTGTTAAACACTGTCTTTTTTCTGAAATCAGTGGAGAAAAATTTGATGTGCATATTGAGCCCATCCAGTGGGCAGTGGACATGTGGTAATGCTATAAAATGGGAATTATCATTCCTTCATTAATTCCATTTAAATTTTTAGCTTTTTTCTATTGGTGACTTTCCTTTCCTTTGTGTAGGGTCCAGCTCTATAGATCCTGCTTTTCGTTGGAAACTCATAAAGGCAATGTTTAAGCCAAATAACTATAAATATATAAATGAATTTGAATGCCTGGATCCATGGATTCAAGAAGGCTTTAGTCTCCATTAAGATTTCTGAGTGTCAAAACAAGCTAGATGATACTGAAATATGCTCTGATATTCAGTATCCTCTCTTCAGAGAGATAAAGGGATGCCTCTTGGATTGCGTTAGGACAACCTAGGGTGGAGACAAAAAAAAACCTGAAGGCTTTTCCTGTACTTTTCGTTAGTCTTTGTGGTCTTATATAAATGGGAAACATAATTACACCTCTTTGTGTGTGAATATACAATGTCATGTATATTCAGAACAACCTACTCTTTTAGGACCTGATTAAATATACTATTATGTCTTCACAGAAATTTAAACAGAGTTGTTGCTGAGTTCAAATAGAGCTGAAAAAATTTCTGAGTTTCCGAGAGAATGCAAGTCACTCATGACCTTGGTTCGTTGCATAGATGCAGAAGGAATTTCTGGTTGTCACACATTTCCACCTACAGCTGGCAATATTTTTTATATCAAAATCCCTTCACCATAGGTTGGCAACAAGCTGTGCACAAGAGCCCCACTGAGGTTGCTAACAGCTCTGCATAACCCTGGGGATCTGATGTCTGTCTCAGCTTCAGCATAGAACAGGGATTTATAGCTATACTCAAACTGATAATGAAAAGGTTAAAAATATATTTTTTTTTATAATCTAATCCAAATCTCAACAGAGGATGGTTTCAGACTAGGTCTCAATGAATGCCCTCATCTTTTGTGAATCTGGTAGGTGACTATGAGACCAGCAAAAATAATCTGTGATTCTGGGAAATTCTGATGTTTTGTGTGGGTGATTTTATGCAGTTAATGCACGTGTTTGTAAATAATTGTCCAACCATTAAAACCAGCTTGTCTCTTTTTTTTCTGCAGGCTATCAACACATTTGCAGAATGCCAATATGTATACAAATATGGATCTTAAACCACATGGTCAATCTGGTCTAGACTTCTTGAGCAGCATTTCTAACATTGTTAAGGCAAAAGTATGTGCCATTTAGACCATATTCATACTAATAACAAGACACGTACTATCCCCTTAAATCTGCAGGTAAACACTGCTAAAGATTTATTTCTGCCATGGTACAGATGCTGACCCTTTTAAAGATGTTGTATTAAAACCAGGCATAAGGGAGTAAGTGGGACATTTTAGAAGTACATGAGGACAACCTGCTGTGTTCTTCACAGGTAGTTAAAGATGTTAGAAGACTGTGTAAGATGCTATTTGCCTGTTCATAAAATCAGATGGATGCAACTCGATACTTTCAGGAGCATTTGATGCTACTAGATGCTGACTAGGATGAAAAATAGTTTCATCATGTACCATATATTTAGAAGCATCTGGATAGAACAGGTATTTATTACCAAAATGACTTCATAATGCGGATTGTTCCATCATACTACCTACCTATAGATACAGGGAATTTATACACCAAAGCCTGCAGCACTTCCCAAATTTTCCCCATTGTGTTGTGAACATTTTACTTTTTTCCCCATTCTAAACCAGCTCTCAATTAAACAACAGTTTACATGAGTCCTCAAAGTGAAGCAGAGTTAGGGAGAAATACCACACAGCACTTTTTGAGAAATGCAGATTTGAACTTGAATGTTAAGGAGGAGATAATGTTCCTGTCATTTGAAGTGCCATGGTAGCTTTCCAACCACGAGCTGTTCCAGGTCCTCCTGGCACAGATAATTGAGGAGGCCTGTGAGCAGCCAAAGATGTGAGATCATTCTCCAGCCTCTTGAGGACTTCCAGTGCTTCCTGAGGTGCTGCTGGACTGCTCTGTGGCCCCCAAAAGCCCATCTCTGCCAAGGGCCTGAGCTTGGCCCACCACAGATGCCAGAGCAAGAGGTGTAGCCCTCAGGAGGCAGCTTCAGGGTTGTCTTTCGAAGCCTGTACAAAAGAATAATTTTTGGGGAGAGATTTTGGTGTTACAGCTCTCCAGCATGACTCCCGGTGGTGTGGAGTCCTTACAAGATGATGTACATGGGACTAAGGTGGGGAGACAACTCAGTCTTGGCATTTAGTATTCAGACACTGGATTTACACTTTTTTACTGAGTTTATTTTATCTGTTTTATGGTGTCACAGGGAGAGGAATTTCCAAGGAGCATTGCAAGTTGATGGCTGTGTTTGGGAACCATCAGATGCAAAGAGCTCATCCCCAGGTTTTCTTCATGTCAATGACACAGTTTTAATAAGGGGACATTGTCTTACTCCTCCAACTGACCATGGAGGAGCTATGATACCTCACAAGGCAGGAATAGTGATCAAACTTGCCTGAAACATTAATAGAAAAATAATTATTATTGGCATCACATAAAAAGAAATTCTACAATCAGAGTAATTCTGTTTATTTTTAAACTGAGAAACAGTAAATTTCTGGTGCTGATAGAAAAGTGCTGATTAATAGAAATGGTAACATCTTTTTTTGCAAGACTTTTATTTTATTTCTTACCAGCCTGATGTTGGTACGTATCTTAATCAAGGCATTATTTGTGCATTTTCTTTCATCTTTGAGCCCAAATGACATGACCCTGGAAATACATAATGAAGACAAAACAGGAGGGTATCATTCCATGTAAGACTTAGAATATCTCTCTTATTTGGTGACTCCCTGGGTGCTTCCCTACATGAGAAGAGACTGTCTTTCATTAAAGATTTAAATAAGAAAAACTACAGAGGAGTGATTGTGTGAGAGATTTATTGCTCAGTAACAAACCAGAAAACTTTAAAATATTTTGTCCCAAAAAGAGACCTTTAAAATTATGTGCCCACTAATCTTGCTGGTTTTTTCAGTTTCCTTTTTGGAGGAAAGCCAATGGGAAGATTGTGGCAGGATAGTTATCCCCCCAAAATATTGATTTCATTAAAACTGTTGATTTAGCTTATGAGCTTGACTATTAAACAAAAGTGTCATCAGTTATCATCTTTAGATTTGTTCTAGTCTTTGATATCAGTCTTTTGAAGATATATTAATTTCCCTACTCTAGAAGGTGAGAATTTAATTGGTGTTAAATAGCTTAGTTCCCATTTTCTCCAAGGAAATGACCAGAAAACTCACAGTTTTGTCCCTGAGGCAGTCTACTTCAGGTATCTGTTTTTTAGCTTTCTTACACTTCACGTGCAGACAGTTACCACAGGAACAAGTAAGGAGAAGATATGTTTTCTGAAGTAGCTATTTTGCTGATAACCTCTAAATAATTTTTTCTACTTAATTTATCTGGTGAGGCAGCAGGTATAAGCAGGTAGCTTGGGCAAGAGTTATTTTGATTGAGTCTTAGGTGAGAGAAGACTTTTATGTTTACAAGTGTATGCCCCACTTGCACTGCAGCCACAAAACACAAAATCCAGTCTTGGCAGTGTGGGGCTTCCTGGCCTTTTTTTTTTTCCTGAACACCTGTACACAGACACTTATAAAAATAAGGAGAAGAGTGTTTTCCTTAAAAAAACATGTGTGCATGGTCTCTTTCTCCTCAATCTAGGTTTGCTACTGTACGCTCTTTCCCCATCCCCATCCTGCTGGGTTTCCTGCTACGTGTTTAAAGAAACAGAACGTATATCCTCATAAAAATAATATCAGGTCATTGCTTCAGAAGAAAGAATGTCACCACTTGAGTTAGCACGAAATATTTCCTTCTGCATCAAGAGGCCTGACTGAGGCAGACACCTCTGACTTGGGATTCAGTGTTATCCAAGCAGATGTAGTTTTAACTTTAAGATGTTAAAAATAAGCTGATGGTAACCGGATAACTGTGTATTTTGAAACAATTATTTCCTTGGATACAGAGACACACAGTGTATGTTCCTCTGACATCTGCACTTTTCTTATTCGTGAGCACATGAAAACAGGAAAATAGTATGAAAGACCTGAAGTGGAATTTTTGCTGTATCACAATTCTGCCAATGAACTTCCACTGAAAAGAAACTGACAGTTTTAATTGTTTTTTAAGCATGTAATATACAATTCATTATTGTGTCATGCATCCTATGATTGTGAGATACTCTTTATTACTCATTGTTATATCAGGCAACATTTCTCTCATGCATACATCTGGTTTTATGTAGATCCTAGCAATGGAACAAAAACACAGTGCATGCCTTGTGGCATCTCTTCATAGCTGAGTTTCCTTTGCTTGCTTTTTAGAGGGTACTTAGCATTTGCTTGGAACCTGATAGTTTTGAATCAAGTCTTTATTTACAAGTGATGACATTAAAGATGAATAACACAAAGAAAATCAGTTCAGCAATATAATTTTGAATCAAGAAACTCTCAACAATTAATAGATACTTCATTTTAATCTCTTGCAACAGATGCATGTACTTCTCTTGGCAGTTAACTGCTTTCAGGCACTAATTTGACACCATATGGGTGTCAGATTTCTGATCTCAACAACTGCTTAATTAATTGATGTTTTTATTTTTGAATGGATTGTGTCTGCTGAGATCAAAAACCTAAGCATGCTATAAAATTGTAAATAGAGAGAGCTTTCCTTACAGATTAATGCAGTATAACACCCAAAATTTGGGTACGTTATGTTTATGATTGATTTCACTTGGATATCATGTTGCTCTAAGTGTGAGAAAGAGAGAGGAGCCAGAAACCAAAGACAGTGGTGGGAAGCTCATACATAAAGTATAGCTAACCCCAAAATCATGAATCACTCTCCCTAATAAAAACAACTAAACAAAAGCAAAATCCAGAGATGGTCCTGAAAGTGGTAGAAACAGATAAACTTCAGGTTTTAAAATTTTCTCTGGTCCATTCCAAAAATTGGAGCTTAGCCTGGCATTTAGGAAAACTTACAATGTAAGTATGTGGTTTAACATTATTCATTCCAAGACTCTTCCCATAGCTGTTGCAGTGCCCTGCAGTTCTGGTGACTCCATCTCTAGAAGATACAGTAGAGTGAAAAATATGTAGATAAAATGTTGATAAAGACAATGAGAGGTATGGAATCAGTAAACAAATTATAACTCTTCAGCTGGTAAAGGAGATAATTAATACAGCAAATGCCCTATATTGACTGATATAAGAAAGGTGAATAGGCCCAATATAGGTGATAGGCACCATTTGTTCAATGGTTCTTGTACCCTTCTTATATCCCTTGCAAGAGGGTACACTATTTGAAATTTTGAGTCATGGTGTTTAAAATAAAGGAAACAAACAATTTTTTTACTCAAAGCATAGTTAACTCACTGTCACAGGATGTTGTGGAAGCCAAGAGATATAAATGGATTCAAAATGGCAATAAAGAATTTTACAAAGAATAGGTCCATTGATGAACATCAAAAACAATAGCCCAGATGCAATGTCTGGCTCAAAAATTCTCAGACTTCTTGATTGTTGGCAGTTGTCTATCCTTACCCAAGGAAGGATCATTCTCTATTCTTTGCTTAGCCAACCTCAGCTGGCTAGTGCCAAAGAAAGGCTACTGAGTTAGATGGATTCGGCTGTTCCTATCATGGTATTTTCATTTTAAAAAGGAGATAACAAAAAAATAGAGTTTTGCAAAAATTCCATATATCCCACCTGTCAGTTGTGTCCTATTGTAATCACAAAGGGACAGAGAAAAACTTCAGGATCTGGAATGGGGAGGGAAATCTTGCTGAGAAAAAGGCTGTTATTCTGTCATTTTGCACAGACATTTACAACAAAGAAATATGAATTCCATCAGCAGAACCAGAAGAACTATGCCCTGATCAGGAACTATTACAAATGTTCTTTGAAAAATGTTACATTCTTCCTTAAAAAAAATAAATTGTTAATTGTAACAGAAAATAAAAAATATTATGTTGTTTCTTGCAGCTGTATCAGAAAGGGAATGCCCTGTCTCTGTGAGGAACATAGAGATTTCTTCTAAGTCAAATACGTTTCTTATACAACAGGACAATAAAGTTTAACTTGCACTTTCAAGTATGGTTTTAGTTCCAGTTTGAAGGGGATTTTCTGGATTCAGAGCCTGAGTTCTTGGTTGATCTCTACCAAAAATTTCTAGCCAATCCTCAGTATCACCTTCTCTACCGTCATGCCCAGGAACGTCCATCTCCGCTCACCTACTGTATTGCCATCCCATGGGCCTGCAGGCTGCATGACAGCCGTGGTCAGCTAACAGCAAATAACATATTGAGTTTAGGAGCCATATCCTGCTGACTATAAACTTAATCTTGCTCTTTGCCAGTAGTTCATTGCCACAGAGGAAAGGGATCCTGCACCATTTGGCTACCGTCATTTCTCTACCAGTTGGAATTAATGAGCTCCCAGAGATATCCCATTGCCAGAAGATGAGCCTTACCTGAGGTAGGTAAAGTCCTGTAGTACTAGTGTGAGACACTGTGGAAGGACTCAGAATACTCTCAGTGTATCCTGAAGGTCAGGTCAGGAGTGACAGAGTCACAGCAGAATAGCATGGAGATCATCAGCTTACATCCTTGGTCACAGACAGAAGAGTAATGGCACCACCCTGCATATGTAGTTTTCAGTTTCTTTTTCCTGGAAATATGATGCGGAAACACAGAAAACAACTTTTTAAATGAAAGTGAATAACTCAAATGTAACTTGCCTTATAAAGTGTCACAAGAAATTTGTGCAGGCCAAAGGGGTGTGTTTGGTCAACTCTTCAGGCCCCTAGTATAACCTCCCTTATGAGTTATCACATTAGAAGATATGGCCTTAATTTATACTCAATCAATCAGGTCATCTTTACCACATAAGGAGTAGTAATGAAAAATGAAAATGAAAATGTATTTGGGTTTGTGAGAAAATGAAAAAGGAACATCCAAATTAAATACCAATTACTATCAAGTATTCAGTTAGTCCAAATGATGGCATTTGGTGAAGTCTGAACTCTTCAGGTTTGTGGTTTCATCTGTATTAGCTTTCAGTAATGCAAAAAAAAAAAAATAGTAGAGGTGTTTTCTTAAAGTAAGACTTTCTTATTGACAGTTGACACTTGCCAGTGAGAACTGAACTCTGGCTGACACAAGTCATGAATCATAATTACTGGAAAGCACTAGAAATGTACTTGTCCCTTCCTCTACTCTTTCTCCTGGAAAAATGCTTCCTTTATAGTTCTTATCAAGTTAAATGGTAGTAAGTGGTCAGGCAGAGACTGTCAGCAGTTGTCATGCAAGTTGTAACTGGAAATCTAAAAATGCACCACCAAAACCTAATAGTGAAACTGCGGGCTCAGACAACTGATGAAGCAGAAAGGGTGGGTGTGTGTTTCTAGCACAGGCTGCCTGCTGCATCAGTCTGTTTCCTGCTCACCTTATTGACATGAGAAGCACTAATGAGAACAGCTAAATAAATCATGTAAGCAAAAGAGCTTTTGGACCTCTTGCTTCTCTGCAGAGATCTCCTAAACTGAAAGAAGTTGGCTGATGATTTCATGTGCAAAGATGCTTTCTACCATACCTATAGCATCTTACTCCTGTTTTTAGAAGTCCGTTGTTTCCCCTTCATGTAGCATTCCCCATCTTATTCTCACCCATCTATCTGCTGAGTATGAGTGGAACAGCAGTTTCTGGCCCCTCAAACTAAGAATGTGCTAAAAACAGGTGCTTATACACAGCGTAAGCAACTAAATATGATACAAATACTTAAAGGTGAAAACCAAAATTCAAAACATACAAAGTAGACATATATTGCAATGACTGCACAGGAAACATTAGTCCACAGCTCCAGCAAATGCAGATGACTGATTGCATTTGGCCTTTTGCTTGGACTTGTTCCAGTCATACAGCCACACACATTCTGCTCAGTATCTCAGTACGGAATCTTAAAAAGGTGCTGCAGAAGTTGCAAAATTGTTGTCCAGTCTGATGCAATCTCTTCTAATCATTTTCCCACAGCCATACATTACAGTTCATGTTTCCTGAGTCCCACAATCGTGCCTCTCCTTCCTTCCCCCTTTTATCTCCTTCTCCCCCTCACTTCCTTTTTCATCTAACTCTCCTGCACCATTACCCTATCCTCCTCTTCCTCCAGAGGCGTATTCATCAGTGGGTGTAAATCAGCATTGGTGCATTTGTGTCAATGGGAGTGATTTCAGCTAAAAACTTGGCTGACAATACTTGTTTGAAATGCAGAAATTCAGTCTTGCACCCCTGCCTCTTGCTGTGAGTGCTTTGGCTCTGTGCTGAATGTCTGTGCCTGGCAGAGCCCCTCCTTGCCACCTCATCCTGTTAAAGCCTGAACCATTCACCGGGCGATATCTAATGGTAAGATGTAAGGTGCTGGGGCAAGAAGGATCTGACATCCCCACAAGAATAATTTTGTGTTACTGTAACACTGCTATTAAGGAATAATAATGACTCAAGCTGCTATTCTGCAGTGGCAGAGTGGCTACATCAGGAACTTAAATCCCTGCTCAGCAAGATGCCCAAGTTCTCAATATTGGTGCTAGTATTACCATAGTTTCTAAAGTCCCTAGCAGCCCTTTTTTATGCATGTGCATCAAACACTGCTTGCCGGCTGGCAGTCTCGTCATGTTAAGAAAACAATGGCTTAGGTTCAAGCTACAGTGTTTTTCTTTCTGTGGGATGATCAAAGGGCTCTAAACAAAGGCACAGAAAAGGTCTCTCAAACAAGTTTCTGCAGTGATTGCACCGAGGTTACAGGCAATGGGCAAAGTACAGTAAAGTCAGTGAAAGTGAAAAAGGACTGGCAGGGAAAACGACCATTTTCAGAGACTCAGAGAAGCCAGTCAGCTAATACAAAGGTGACTTAGTTATATGTAATCAGGCCCCTCTGATTTCTGATTAACTCAGCAGCGTCTCATCAAGAGAGTTTGGGCTAGCCTGTTTCATTTTGATCTGTTTACCTCTTTTACATTATGACACTATTGCTCCAGTCTGCAGCCCCAGAGAGATCCCACTCATTGCTCCCTGAACCATTGTAAGAAGACTAGTGGATCCAAGAGTGCTGGAAAAGCCTGAGGCATTGTTTTGCTGTCATGCAAACCTGGCTACCTTACCACTATTATCATAGACTGACATCTTTCGTTGCCTTTTCTGTTTTCCAAGACAAAAGAGCCAGCTGAGACTGGAACAAAGGAGAATACAGGGAAAGGGAGAGAATATGTCAAGCAAGAATAGTTTGGAAAGGGCCAAAAGTGGAAAAGGAAGTCTAATTCTAGCCTCAACCAGGGGAAAAAAAGTTTTTTTGAGAAATGTAAACAAATCAGGAAATCCTGGCACTTACTCCAGTTCCGATTTGGCAAAACACACCAGTTCTTTCCCTATGTATGAGCTGCTGTTTGTGAATGAAATCCAGATTAGGTTATTCATTGAGCCCTGCCAGTCCCACAGTTTCCAGGTTTCCTTTTGCTTATGGCATAGCTTAAACCTTAAAATAATAATAATAAAAAAAAACATATGCATGTTATTAACTCTCCATATTCAAATGGAAATACAATGCTATCATAAATCTCTATTTTTTCTAATGTAAATTCCTCTCTCCAGCATGAAGCTGCAGGAAAGCCATTGTATCTGCACAATCTAAACTTGAAAGAGAATTTTTGTTAAACTAGTTATGATAGGGGAAACATGTTTTTCACTGAGTTGAAAGATTAAAGTTGGCCATAAAAAGGGGTGGAGGGGCTGGAGAAGGATTATTGGTTGCTGAACTAATGATTAGATACAGGACTTCAAGGACAAATTAAGGAGCACAAAAAGAAAGATTTCTGAAGATAAGTGAAACCAGTTCCAATAATATCAAAGAAAAGATGCCTTGTTTATCACAGATTTTAATCTCTCCCAGTTCTATTCTACCTCTATTAGTCTAATTAGACAAAGAGAGTGTAAACCCCAGAAGAGACAACCAATCTTTTGTAGACCTTGAAGTCTACCCAGCATATCTGTCTCTCAACTTGCCCTTCTTTTACCTGTCTCCCATCATGGGTAATTTCCCTCTCTCTTGTGATTTTGATTCCTTACAGAAATAGGACTCTGGTTGCCAAAATTTCCTTTTTCCTGATTAAAAACTGTTTCTGGCTCATTAACACTGTCTCTTTAGAGCAGGGAGGGAGAGCAGGAGGAACAGAGGAGACTGAAAGCGGTTGCTCTTACTTTAGGTAAGGCTCATCAGTGCTGCAGTATGGGGACTGTTGGGGGCTAAACTGAAGGATACACCAGAAGCCATAAAAACGAAGGACCTAAATGGCCAAACTGGTGTACCTATGGAGACATGAGAAAAAGAGTTTCATGAATGCCCAGTGGCAACAGTGATGAGCTCTAATTTAAAGTCTGTCAGCACAATGTATTGCAAGGAGTCAAGGAAAAAATCCCCATCCACTCCAACTGGGCCTTATGGGTGGCTTTGGCTAAGCACAGTAAAAACTTCGACCCTGCTCTGAGGTGGATACATGGAAAGATGCAACCGCGCTGTTGCTTCCATGTTGCTTGCATGCTCTCAGTCAAATCCTTGTGAAATGGAAATGTTGGAAGAGCTGTTTGAATTGCTGAAGACCTGGAGCAGCTCTTGTTTCCATCAAGAACCTTGCTCGCATATTTATTTGTTTCATGAATGAGCACATGTACTGTTTGAGAGAGAAAAGACAGGGAAGGTAGTATTTGCACAATCATCTTTTCTTCATAAAAATGATTGCATCTTCTACCCGGAGATAGTCAATGGTTGTGAGCCCTGATAAGCTAAAATCACAGTGAAAGCAAGGTGTATTCATTTTACTGTGATATTACTGTAACATTTGAGCCTCTTTTCCTTGTAGAAGCTGGACCTAATTGGGATTTACATGGTGGTAAAACTGAAGCGGCAGTGTTTGATTTTGGTTCCTTTTTTTTTCAGGTAGATGTATTTTTTTAGAGATAGGAGCTACAGCTCCATTTAAAAGTGACACGGCATAAAATAAAATTCTGCAAAGTTTCTCAAATTTTACTTTTCTGACAGTTTTTTCCAAATACTTAGATTTTCTTAGCACAAATATTTCTGTTGCCAGAAACAGGAAAATATTGCTACTCACTCAAATTTCCCTAAATTAAAAAAAAAGTCTATAGGGTGGTTAATGTTTTATGTTCTCCATTGCTTTAAACCTCTTTCATTTCTTCATTTAAAGGCTGACTACAGCACAAATGGGGGTTACAGCTGCTGTATCAGACACAGTCCTCCAGACTGTGGAAGGCTGGTCCCTTCTGTATGGTTTGACACCCACCTGAACCCCAAAAAACTGCAGATGAAGATATGCTCTTCTTCCCTCTCTGCTTTTGGCAAGAGGGAGGTGGGAAGGAGCAGATAAAGGTAGGCTGAGGCCAGGGAGGTCTCATTACATGCCAGCATGCTGGAGTCTGGAGTTCCCAACTGATCTCCTGACTACTAGCCATGCAAGCCACAGGGACTGTCAAATGGAGAAAGGAGAATTTATTTAAGGTTATCATTCTGGGGACAGTTTCTTGAAGGATTACTACTGCATTTCAGTATAGGCAGCATCTCAACTCCTTTCACATTGGTACAGGGCTTTCCATCACCTGCAGAGGCAATAGCCGTGAGACAACTGTCCTAAGCACATTGGACATCCATTTCTGCATTCAACAGAGACAGTTGTAGATCTTGTAAAAAATAGTTATAAAATACACATTAATTTTTTTGTTTAATTTTACTGCTGTCAGGGCTATAAAAACTTTTTTTCTTGCCAGGGCATGGTTAATCACAAATAAAATAATCTGGAAATAAATTAAATTATAGATCCACCTCTGGCTGCATTTTGTTGGTCTGGGGAAAAAAAAAATAAAATCCAGTACGTCTGGGCACTCAGAGGAGAGCATGCAAAAGCTGTAGATGGTACATTTCTGTTACTCTGCCAAGGGAAAACTGCAGCAGCAGAGCTATTAATGTCAGGCTGTTTCTGTAGCCTACATAGTGCTGTATTCTCCAGTGCAGAAAAGAAGGGAAACAGGTGCTCCTTCTCAGCATCTGGTTTGGATGACCACAATACTCCAAACACCTGCAAGTCGCGGTACCGCCAAGCCTTGCATGCTATTGTATTAGGCAGGACTGTCTGCCTATAGCAATAAAAGACATTGTTTATCAGTTGTACCAGAGGAACATGGATTGTGAGGAGAGGACAGAACAAACAAACCTGGAAAAAACCCCTCTATTAGTCTGTAGCTTGAATGCTTTTGACTATGAAAGTTTGGGGGGTTGATTGCTTTTCTTTTTGCAGAGACTGGAAAATGGACACTAGCCTTGTGGCAGGTTTTTCTATCTGAACAGACAACAGGCACTTGTGTTAAGAGCGTGATAGCTTTTTAGTATCAGCTATCAGGTTTTAGGGCTTGAAGGGGAACTGCAGTTTCACATTTTAACAGAATTGTTTTTACAGGCTGTACTGAGTTTTATCTCTTTAGTTCTGACTATAAACATGATGATTCACATCTTACTAAGAGTGGATTTAGGACTATTTAGGATTACAACTGAAACTTTGCCCAGAACCTTAGATACTGAAGTTTTTTCTATTTTAGGTTTCCTCCTCAGGAATGGCAAAGCCATTTCCCTGGATGTGAAACAACCAAGACATTCAGAAAACCAAATCAGAGCAGCACATTTCGGAAGATACCACAGCATGAGCCATCCCAGGGAAGTCACTGGTATCACTTACGTCCTTTAAACCGCACACAGATTTTAGCACCTTTTCAAGATGACAAATTATTTCTTTCTGAAGCAAACGATTGGCAGATGGCCTGTCTAGATCCTGTTCTGGAAACCATAATAGTCTCATTTCCTGCCTTTGGGAAAGCTGCTTAATTTAGGAGCATTTTCCTTTTCCCTACCTGCAAAGCCGGGACGGCAGCGGGTAGCTACCTCCTGTGTGGGCTTTTTAGTGGGAAGAGCACGGAGCCGTGGAGCTTCCCAAGGGAAAGCCCTTCCAGGAGCGGCAGGCCCCGCTGCCGTGGCGGGAGGTGCCGCACCAGCCACCCCCGGCTGTCCAGCGGGGAAGGGGCCGGGACGGCGAGCGCATTCCCGGGAGAGGCGTCCGCAGTCGGGCTCGTCCCTTTGCCGTGAGCCCCAACTAGCGACCGGCCGAGGAGCGGCAGCTGTCGGCGCTCTCGGTCTTCGGAGAGGTCACTTGGGGTGGGGAAAAAGCTCGAAAATCTTGTCTTGGCCCCTTGACCACCGGCCTGAAAATGTCTGTGACACTGAACTCACCTGCCAGTGTACGTTCGCAGCCCAGAGAGCCAGTCGCGTCCTCGGCTGCTCAGAAGCAGCGTGGCCAGCAGAGCGAGGGAGGTGATTCTGCCCCTCTACTCCATTCTGGCGAGACCTCACCTGGAATGCTGCCCCCAGCTCTGGGAACCACCAACTTAAGAAGGATGTGGACCTGCTGGAGTGGGTCCAGAGGAGAGACACAAGATGATCAGAGGGCTGAAGCACCTCCCTATAAAGATGAGTTGAGAGAGATGGGGATGTTCAGCCTGGAGGAGAGAAGATTCTGGGGAGATCTTAGAGCAGCCTTCCAGTACCTAAAGGGGGCTTATAAGAAAGATGGGGATAGACTTTTTAGCAGGTTCTGTAGCAATAGGGCAAGGGATAATGGTTAAGCTATAAGAGCAGAGATTTAGACTAGATATTAGGAAGAAGTTTTTTTGCAATTAGGGTGGTAAAACACAGGAACAGGTTGCCCAACGAGGTGGTGGATGCCCCATCCATGGGAATATTCAAGTTCAGGTGGACAAGATGTCCCTGTTCACTGCAGGGAGGCTTGACTGGATCGCCTTGAAAGATCCCTTCCAGCCCAAACTATTCTATGATTCTGTGAAGATTAATATCTTTTCTCTCAGCTTTTTGAAAAATATTTCAGGATGGGAGAGGATTTCTTACTTCACAATTATGGCTTTGCTGAGAAAAACCTCTCCTCTCACTGGTATGAGCAGTACTTTGCTCACAGGAAATACTTTTGTGGAGTTTTGGACATGACGATATAAACAGGTAAAGAAAATCTGATAGTGCTTATGCAAAAAGTAGAACGCTTAAGTACTTAGCTCAAGAACATAAAGGGACACCTGCAAGACAACATGTGGAGCACTGGATTTTGTTAGATAACAGCTTTTTTCTTTTTGTCTGCAATGATCCATCCAACTTCCCAGTTTGCAATATCTCACACATAAATGCCAGTGTTTAAGATCCCCAGCTCTGGTGGAATCATGGTGTGAGACATAAACCTGAAATAGGCTGAAACATAGAGTGGGAAAATGAGAATAGACGGAAACTACCATTATACTATTAGTCAAGGAATTGATATATAGCACATGCACTCACACACTGCTGAATTGCATGGATATGGTTAGAGAGAAACTCATGCTCAGAGAACTTCCTTGTTGCTACACTAGTGAAATTACATGAGAAAAAAAGTACTTACAGTTCCTTGGGACTTTTTTTTTTCTTTCTAAGCAGATGCATCTTCTCAGATTCACTCTGTTTTTACAATAACTACTATAACTAATTGTGTATTTGGATAAAGAATGTGGAATCTTATTTCCAGCATATGAAACAAGGTGATTAGCCTTCATTGAATTAAGTTCCAATCCTGGATTAAGTTATGCTCTTATACTCTTATTGGCCTGTACGCACAAATGCTGAAATTTAAGATTAAGAAAATATATATCCATATATTTTACATGGAGAGAAAGAAAGATATATGAAAATGTACATTTAACTGGTAGGAGCTCATATTCTGAGATCGGCAGTTTGGAGAATGCTCATGATAATAAAATTGTGATTGGCGGCTGCTAAATCTGTGGTATCATTTTTCAAATTGGTTAAATGATGCAGTTGCACTCAAAAAAGTAGTTAAACCAACTTTTGCTCCCTAGGGGTTGAGCACACTGACTATTGCTTGCGCAGCCAGGAAAATCCAGTTCTTAGCAATGACCACTTATTCCTGGTAATGATTAAATAGGTCCCACAAAATCATTTGAAAAGTGGTTTGTTTAAATACCATTTATTTGAAGGCCATTAAGTCTCTGGAGTTCAAGGGTAGCAAGGGAGATAATGTCAAGGCAATGATATCACATCTCTATTTTATGACACCAACTGCACCACAAATCATACTCCATACATGATTTAGGTGTGGAGAAAAGCCATTTTATTAATTCATCTTATCCTTTACCTTTTATCAAGACAGTTCATATTAAGAAGGGAGGTTGGGAAGATAAGGCAGTTAGGACATATGCCATAAGCTGTCTCTGTTGAAAGCTGCAGTCACTGCACCGTGAGATATTTTCTGCAGAGTGAACTTTCTTTCATTGCACCACACACTCTTTATTCACCTTCCCTTAGAAAAATGATTTGTGTATTTGCTTAAAATCAATCACCTGCTCTCTGGTAATATTTTGAGGCTGTTTCAAGGCTCACTCCAGAGATGCTGTTCTCAGAGGTACCACAACTTATCGAGTAAAAACCAGATTGAGTGGAAGCCCGGCTTCATGGAAGTGGGTGGTGGAGCTCCAGTTGTATGAATTGAAACCAGGATCTTTTTCCCATCATGTTCCCATAAAGTGAATTTTAAAAAATAATGTGAAAGTACAGAGTAGAGCTCTTCATGATCATAAATTTGCACCATATCCTGTCATTCATACATAGGCACCAGTGCCTTTGAAATCACTGAGTCAATGGGAGACTTGCCTGACAAAGAATTACAGGATTACATCCTCAAATTGTTGAAGTTTCATGTGCCTAACTGAATAGAATTTCCTTTGAAATAAAGACAAAACCTCCTCTAAGGTTAAAAAGTGAATCTGAATTTCATATAGTTCTGAGTCTGTAGTTCTTTCATTGTGTCCCATTTTCGGAAACACAGACTTGGAAGTGGCCCAAAACTTTTTCAGCACCTCATCATTATTAACTTAGTGTTTCTGTGTGAATGTGTATTTTCCAGTGCTCACTGACTAGGCAGGCAGACAAAGCTAAATCAGTCAGGGCGTGCTTGCCACATCTACTACAGCAAAGGAAGAAGAGTGGAGGAGCTTTAAAATTGAGCATCAACACACAGAGTAACTAAAATGCACTCACTCTACCAAGACAAAATAATAGAATTGATTAAAATGATGCTTGATAAGATGTCTATGTCTATAGGAATCAGCAGTGAAAATGAGACATTGAAAAGCAATGGGATTTACCATAAACAGTATTTGGGTTTACCAGAAGCCATGTGAACAGAAACAGCTGCTATGTATAAGAATGATACTCATCTAAATAGATGGTTTACTATGGGTTTCCTTAGCTTGCCAGGATTTTACTCTGTTTAGTTTTGCTGTGGTGGCCATATAATTTCTGACCAGATCATTTTGTGGAGCCAAATTTAATCCCTAAAAACAAATCTTCACCAACAGATATCTATTTCTGCCTTACAGAGTCAGACAAACAGAAATGAGCTTCTTTTTCACCTTCCTGTCTTCCTCAGATCTTGAGCACAAAGAAGTTCAACAACTTAGGCAACTCTGTATTTTAGGTGGGACTCCTAAGTTCCCGTCCATTTGTTGCAACTGCCAGGCTTTACAGCCTTCCCTGGGGACAAAGTGTATGGAACTGAGTGGGGAGTGGGAGCAGCAGCTGGTAGAAATCCTGACAGGTCCCTTTCAACTCTTACTCTCCTTTTTGCAACTCTTGCCATCTAGGTTTCCATTTGCTTAAAGGTGCCTTTATCTGAGAAGAAAGCAATGTCTGTAAGGGAGGGTCCTCCATCCTTGTCATATTCCAGCTCTGGCAAGGATATGCCTTCTCTCAGGGACTTGCTCCAGTCCAGTCCTTGTACCTGACAGGCTTGCCCACAGGTTTGCCCATGAGTACATGTGAACACACACTGTTTAGATTCAGCCAGTGAACTTTGTTTGGGGACTACTGTTTAACTTTTCCAGGTGCGTGCTTTTATACTGCAGGCTTATCACCAGCTGCCAGAGGGCAGCTGCTGGAGGAAGCTGTTGAGCTGCCATCCTGCCCCAGAGCACCATTCATGCCCTGGGTTGTCCCCTGCCTTCTGTCACCATGAGCATTTTTATGGACCTGGTTCAGGGACCCAGATCACATCACAGTTGATCTGGCCCACTCAGTTGACCTGACCCCCTGGCCTTTTTAACTAGTTTTTTCGGGACAACTCAGGTCTCTCCTCTGGTCCCATGAAAGCCTCCAGGAAGCGGAAAGTATGGGGTGGGAAGGAATGATTGGGGCATACACACAACCAATTTAAACCAAATTTGTTAGCTGTAGAGAGGTCTCAAAGGGTCGGGAGGAGAGATTAAAGAAAACCTATTTCCAAGAAACCCAGTTCCAAAAAATCAATGAGTTCAGAGAATTCACATGAGAGACAGCAATGGTGAATGAGTGTTCCTCTTGTGTGTAAAGCTTCAAGCAAAACTCACACCTTTTTAGGCATCATGGAACCCAAACATAAGACACAATTCCTCGCAGATCAGGCTGCATTGGCTCTGCTGTTCACAGGCCTACTCATTTAATTTTGCTCTATGATAAGATCTGGTGGATCACTGCAGTCCAACCTCTGTGTAGTGAATGAGCAAAAATGAACCAGGTGATCGGAGTGTTTTCTGCTCTTGAGTAATAAAGCACAGTAATTGATGCAGAGATGTCAGCATGGATAATCTACTGGTCAGGCTGCCACTCCAACAGTTTAGGAAAGGTCCTGATAGCACCTCCTGCCTTTGTTTTCACCTATTTCTAAGCTATCTATGTCAGATTTGCAGTGCTAGTTCCCTTGCTTCACTTTGAAAACAATATGAGCTCTTTATGAGAAGAAATTCACAAAAGAAATAAATGATCAATATTATCAAAATACAGAGTTGACCTGGGGCC